TCTTGTTGAAGTTGTATGGAGTAAAGTTAAATGATCATGATTGTTTATATATGTGATGCATGTTTAAGTTGTTATACATAAAAACTAGATTAAAGTAAAGATTTTTTAAAAGTTAAAATATCCATTTTTGTGAATATAAGTTGTGTTGCTTAGAGAAGTCAAAGTTGAAAACCCTTAAGTGGGTGCGTTGCCTTTTGAATAAGTTATTTTTAAGTTGTCTCTTCTAAATTTTATGTGTAATACTATAAGGGTCAGGTCGAACCAAACTAATTAAAAGTGACCAATATAAAATCATATGAAGGTCAGGTCGAGTCATATATGTTATAAATGACCAAAATTGAGGAAGATATGAAGTTGAGAGGTAAAATCCTTAATTAATTATTGGAAATGTGTGTAGTATTTGGAGGGTCGTTAGTAGGCTAATTCCATATGATACTTAGACATGCATGCTAAGGCCATGGTAGACTCACACCCAAGTTGTTCTATCCGAACAGTAGTACTAAACTTTCCTAGTGTGAATGGAGAAACATAATTAGAAACCAATTCTAGTCACCATATCAATCATTGTTGGTAGAAAAGATGTCCTAGCCAAGAGGGGAGTAAATTGGTTGGTTAAAAATTTGTTGTACAACTATCTTGGTTTTGAAAAACTTTTCTAAATCTTTACAAAGAAGTGTATTGATTTATAATTGTATATAGGATACTAAGTTTAGATTCAATGCAAGATTGAATGCATTCAATTTTATATGCATTGTTTATGCCTCACAACACATAACAACAAGCATAGAAACAAAATTACAAGAATGTAAAGTCAAGGATAAGGAGAGAGAAAAATGCACAGTCAATGTATACTAGTTCAGCCATATATCCACTTGTGACCTACATTTAATTCCTAATCAACCTAATTGAGATTTTTCACTAATCTTTAAAATCAAAAGTTTTACAATTACAACACCACATGCAATACACTACTACACTATTAAAGAAACCACTTCTTACATAAACATTCACTTGTAGCACCCCACTACAAGATTCTCCCTTCTTAAGAAACTTACTTAAGAAAAACAACCAATATAAAAGTTTAGGAAATGAACTCACTTGATGTACAAAACGTATCAAAGTAGGTGAATCAACCAAAAAACTTATCCTTTTACTCCATGAACATGATGATCAATTTAATTTTTAAAATCTTTCTTAAGGTTACCACAAAGATTAAAGAATCTCTTATTGCAAAGAAAAATGTTTCATAGAGAGTATTTTGAAAAAGATATCACAAAGATTTAAGTATCTCTATTCTAAGTGTAAAACATGATATATATATATATATATAAGTTTTCTGACTGAAATAATCAATTATGTATATAAATAATTGATTATTTTGTTCTTAGCAGATCGATAAATCAATCAAGAATAGTTTAATTGATTATTTTGAGTAATAATTTATTCCAAAAACTAGTTTATAAAATAATCGATTATTTTGTTGAATAATCAATTATTATGGCAACTGCTCCTCGGATTATTAAAAAATAGAGCAAATAATCGATTATTTTTAAGTGAAAATTTAATATATCAAATTTTCGTACCATTTATCTTTACAAATCAATTCTAACACTTATTTTAATTATTAATCATCATCTAGATAGAGATAAAAGCCTAAGTTACTTATCAAGCACAAAACACAAAGCAACAAAGCTTTAAACACATAACATATGATACAACTTGCACTTTTTTCTTTAAAGAGGCTTAAAACACAAAACAAAATACAAGTTACACTCTTATCTTTCATCTTGAGCTTGATAAAAACTTGTTTCTAGTTTGATAAACTAGCTATTGTTTCTAGTTTTTTACACTAGTCATTGTGGATTGATAGGATCAAGCCACTTAGATTAATCATGTCAATTGTAGGAGATCTCTATGGTTGATATGTGCGACAACACATCAATTGTTTAAGTTGTTCAATTGTGTTTGAAGTTGATTAGTTATTTACCAATTGATTATTAGTTGTTACCTGTTGATCAATTGTTAGTTGATTATTTTTTAGTTGTTTACGTGATTCAGTGGTGGATGTTTTAAGATAATGTTATGTTGTAAGTGGAAAGCTAACCTATTGTTTTAATTTGTTTATGTTGATGAAATGAGGTTGTTATTTCTTTATATGTTGTTATATTGATTCTTTCATAAGTTTACCTTTTTTTTTTTTTTGTTGGATTGTGACGATCATACTTGACATGGGAGTAAGGCAGAATTAGGCTAGATGGCTTGCATGGTGGAGGGTCATGCTGGAAATGACCTAGTTTTCTAAAACTATTCTAATATAGTATCTTGTGTATAGACGCTTGATCGACGATAGAATTTTATGTTTTCAATACTTTGTATATTTTGATGTATATTGTATATATGTACAAAATTTATGTGTTTTCAATACTTTTTAACACTTCACAATGAACTTTTTCTATTATTAGACATTTACAACATTCTTTCTCTTCTCTCTTTAAAATGTATATTTAAAATATGGTAAATTCTTCCAAAAATATACTTGTAGACTTATTTGACTCAAAAAAGATTACTTTTAATAATGATATATGTGTGATATATGAAAAAAAAAAATTGTACATTTCACACACTATATTTGTAAACTAACTAAAAAGTTTACCTCTAAACCATCTCAAATTTTAATTTATTTGTATATTTTAACCTTTTTAACAACATATTTCTTTTAATGTTCTTTCTTTTATCATTATCACTAAATTAAAATAAATTAATATTTTTTTAAAAAAAATTAATCTTATATAAGAATTCAAATTGTTCATGGAAAATTTATAATACAATTATATATTTAAAGATATTTATTTGTTATAAATTTTAATTATAATACCCCTTCAATTTTTATTATAAGGCACAATTTACAATGAAATAGTAATTTTTTATAAAACACTACAATTTTTATAAAATACTAGAAAAGTTGAGGTACTTTGTGCATCTATAATTTATTTAAAAAATAAAAAATAAAATAAAATAAAAGAATTAAGGTTAAGTAATAAAATAGATAGTTAACAATTTGAGTGATTAGGAGTGATTAACTTATTTAAATGGTGATAATAGATGTAACTTTCAATATTGTTTTTATTATTACTATTATTTAAAGATTTAGGGATAAAATTGTCTAAAAAAAATATGAAGATGAAAAATATTACAAATTGACTTATTTTCTTTATAAATACATATAGATTATTCTTATATTTCATCTTCTGCTTTTGTTAAAGATTGTGAGAACATGTACTTCTTATAGTTAGATAATAAGAAAAGAATTTAAATTTTTTTTTATCTCTCACCTCTTAAAACACTTTTTCATCATTATGGAACAATTTTGAAAACAAACTGGTTGTTTTCAAAATATTTTCCACTTTAAAATGGTCAATCCTAAGTGTACATAATCAAAATCCATCTGCACCTTTTTATTTTTATTTTTTTTAATGGTATAGTTGTAGTCCACAACAACATTCCTTATTATTTTTTAATTATATAATTGTGAGCTACAACTACACTCTCTTCTTTTTATTACTATTATTTTTTTGCTTATATAATCACATACATTCTCACTCTCATGCTCTTTTTTGAAAGTAAAAAATACAAAAATCTATTACCTCAATTATGATTTTTAGAATAAAAGTCAACTATATTCTTACACATACACCATAATTCACGATTAACATACAAACTATTTATGATAGTAATACGTACAATATTTTATGTTCCAAATTGACATAATTAAAAAGTTAAAATAAAATAAGAGAATATAGCTACAAACATTAAAAAAAAAAAAAAAAGTACTCGTTGTGCACTACAATGAGACCATTATAAAATAAATAAAAAAAGAGATTGTAGTTATAATCCAAACCTATATCATTAAAAAGAATAAAAATTAAAGGATGTTGTTGTGACCTATAATAACACTATTAAAAAATAATAATAATAATAAAAAGAGGTGTAACTATATTAGTATTTATTGAGTAAGTTTTGATATATTGAATAATATTTGCATTCTCCCCTGAAGATTTAATAATAAATAAAAATGATAAAATTGGGATATATTTTACTTTAAAAATTTAATAATATCAACTAATATAATTATTTATACTATCTATTTAATTTAATTAAAAATATTTTATAAGAATGAGATGAAATATAATTTATATTAAAAATATATTTATTATAAATTTTAATTATATAAAATAAATATTTACATAATAAACAAATAAAAATCTATAAAAAAAAATATCAAAAATTATGATTATTTATTTAAAAATATTTTTTAGTTTTTGTTAACATTATATTTTTTAAAAAATATACTAAGACGACAAATAATGTCCGTTTTCAGTGTGAATTTGGATGATCCAGACAGTTAAATCTGCGAACAAATGCAAATTGGACCTAAAAAAGAACTAGATTGACTCATATTCTCACTTTTTAATTTTTATTGCTAAAGCTTGCTATTATTACGTAATAAAGATAACTAGATTGACATAAAACTTCGATTTTTAATGTTGCTGTAATAATATATTTTTTCTGATAAAGTAAAATAACCTACTTCCATGCTCCATTTAAATAAATATAACCTTATGCTAAAAATGAGTTGCAAACTTTTTTTATTTTTATTTTAATTTCCTAGTAACATAAACAACACTTCATTTAAATAAATATAACTCAACATAAAACTTTAATTTTCATGCTATTCAGTATAAAAGAAAAAGTAGACTATTAATCTCCATTATTTTTTTTAAATGAAAGCCTCTAAATAATTGGACAGTAATCATAATATATAAAATACTTGTAGGCATATATAATTAAAAATAATAATTTTTCATTAATTTTCAATAAATAATTTTAATGATTTAAAAATCTTAAGTAATAATATTTTTAAAGTACTAAGCTAATTTAATTTTTTTTTAAAGCTTGTATTTTTATTTCTAAAATATCACAATTGTTTTTTTCCTTTTCATTTTAACAGATCTAAAGTTTACAGAGTTTCATAAAGCACGGTTGCATTGCTCACAGTTGTCGGGTTTGGAGCTTGGGATTGAATTGAAAAGAACACGCAAATTGCTCCCACCGAAGGGTTTTCATCGCGCCCTTTCGTTTCTCGTGGTGGTAATCGAATCTCCTTGTCCTTGTTCTGCCCTCGATCAACGTTGACTGAAACGGATGACGTGTTTTTCTTGTTATGAATAATTTGGTTTCGGTTGATTTTCAAATGGGTATTGCTGTGTCGTTGTTGCATGAACTAGGTTGATGTTAGAAGGAATTTTCCATGTGTGTTTTGAGTGTCATGTACTGAGGACTTCAATTGATAGTGTGGCTACTTCCCCCTTTGCAATCAAATGGGTTTAGTTAATTGCCTGTGTGTGTGTGTGTGTGTGTTTCTGTGCAAGTTAAGTTGGTATGGGTAGGTTTGGATCAAGCAGTTCCTGTGGCCTGTTGGGAACTCATGCTGCTTGAGTTACTGCTCTTGTGTAGTTGCCTCTCTTAATAGGTGAACTTGCATTGTTTCTTGCAATAATTTGCTTTGATAGATTTTAAGTAAGAGTTGAATTTGAGGTGAAAATATGGACTTTTCAATTGTAGATTGGCAAGAATGAGATATTTGTTCTCTGCAAAGTTAATTAGTTTATTATCGGCATTTTTTTAATAATTTTTTTTAATTTATTATGAATGTGCTTGTATGATAATGTTCATGTAAAATATCAGGAGATGCGAGACTATGCTTATGAATTTGTTTCTTTGTCAGTTTTGTCAATACCATGAAAATCATCTGCTTGCTGTTATGTTTCTGACTTTTCATTATACGTTTCGTATTGTTATCCATTTAGTGACATTGGTGCTTTTAGTTTCATTTATTTCCTATTGACATGCAGGTGAACTGTGAACTCAGTTGGCCAGAGCTTGCCAACAGGCAAAATTTTGTTGAAGTCCCTCAATTGAGCTTCCCTGCCTCCTTTTTCCAAAGTTTCTGTCTGGTGCAATGGTTTATATAACTGAGTGGGACAAGTTCGTGGAGCAATCCATTGAGTTGTTCCGTGCTGATCCTGATTCTGTAATTCCATACTTCATTCTTTTTTGATTCATAACTAGAAACAAACCTGATAAGCTCCCAAGCATGTACAATACTATGTTGCATGAACATTAGATTTTTTCTGACTGTTTTTGTTATGCTTATAAAAGCCTGTAATTTCTAACCTTTGCTCTCTTTTCATGTTCAGTTTTTTGCTATTCCAAATTGAATTTTTATATTTCAGTTTCGTGGTTGTCAAAGTTATTTATCTTGTCTCTGTTCTATTAACTCTTCTAAAAAATGAAATTTGTTCAAATGTATTGGAGCAGACACGGTATGTCATGAAGTACAGGCACTGTGATGGCAAGTTGGTACTTAAGGTCACTGATAACCGACAGGTATCTGTTCATTTTTCTTAAAGAAAGATTAAAAGAAATTTATTTATAGCTTTATTTTGGAACTTCTGGTGCATGTTTGAGAGTGAAAATATGGATTGACATGAGTCATGACTTCATAATTTGATTATTCAATACTAAATGTTGTTCTCTAGAGTAATATTGTGGTTTCTTTGTCTCCAAACATAGTGTGACTGTTTCAAAATTTGATACCTATACAATGTCATTAATTTCATGGTGGACAATATGAGGATATCTACGTAATCTACAGTGTATCAGTTCATTTTTCTTATGTGTGTGTGAGAGAGGTTATTTTTCTTCTGTGTACGTTTTGCATTTTAGTTGGATCTTATGGTTCATGTTATGATTGTACACCCACTCTTTGCAATTTAGTTAGAACTTATGATTTATGTTACCATCCTATGATCATACACCACCCTCCTTCAAACATTGAAACCCGATTTTGACAACCTTGCTACAGTTTATTTTGTTGATGATGTGATTTGAAAATGAGGTTTGTAATCTAGGGATTTTAAGTTTGCAAGTTACATATTTTACCATTGTTACTATAAGATATTACTATCCCACTTTACTACTTGTTTAGTTTGGATAAGGATTTATGGACTACTCTTCCTATGGGGCCATAAATGCCTCATTTTGTTAAAACCTATGCTATTTTGCTTCTTGTTCAAGCTATAAAATAAAGACTAAATTAGTTTACTCGTTCTTTTGGGTCAACATCTGTGTCATGAGAATTGCCTTATTGTTTTTCCACATAATTTGGAATGAAAATTAAGCTAAGGCTGATGAATGGCCTAACTGACTATTAAGTTATGGATTTGTTGAATGTTCCTTTCACCTTTGGCTTTATCTATTTAGTAATTTTAGGGAAAAATGTTCACAATGCACCAACAAATTCTTTCCAACACACTCTACATTTGGGGAAAATTTATGTGGGATCCAGTAAATAATGTGGATCTCAACTCTCAACTGCTATTTAACGAGTCTCATTATTTAGTAACACCAACATGAATTTTACCCAATAGTAAAGAGTGTGTGTAAGCATTCCTCTTAATTTTATAATGATATATGTTAGATATAGTTTTATCTCATGGGCCTAGGCCCACTACTTTGTATATAAACACATCTTTTGCTTTGCAATACACAAGGAAATGCTTTATTCCATTTACCATTTCTCTCAACAATATAAATCCATTTCTAAGTGTCCATCTAAGGGCTTAAGCTTTTAGGAAACTGGTTCTTGAATTGGTATTAAAACCTTTATAGCCAAGTGCTCTCAAGTTAAATCCCTTCAGCCCTTTCGTAATTATGTTGACTTTGAGTTCAAGGTAAAATGCTCTTGTACATTCTCTACACTTGCCCAGTAGTCTCTTGCATGAGGGGCATGTTGGAGATATCTAAGCATTTCAAAGCCTCTGCGCAACCAAAACCACTAATCCAACAATAGCTTGGATATTGATGAATTGTGAGTAGATTCATTAGACTGGAAACAACATTAGTGTTATGTAGTTTGTCATGTTCTCTGTTAGAAGGACCTAAATGAGAAAGGTATCAAGGACTCCCTGAACCTACTAGATTGTCAAATAACACTAATGCAATAATTTTATAGTAACTATGAGAGCTTTCGTTTTAATTTTTGAAGCTATACAATTTGTATTTGCTTCAGAATATTTAATGCAGAATAGGAGGCTAAGGATCTGTTACACGTAAGAGGCTAGGACAAGAGAAGAACAGTCAAAGACATTTAAAACACAGCCAAAGAAGACCGTCTCCTGATTAACAATTAGGAAAAGTCCAAGCTGATTCTATTACAGCCAATAAAAATCCCTTATATAGGACAGCAACTCTAATTTAAAACAAATTCTGGCCCTCAGATGAAACTAATCCTAGTCTTCTAAGCCAAGGTTGCACGAATGATAGGAAATGGAAATACTAACAGGCCCTAATTTTGTAATTACCTATTCTTTCAATGCGTCATTCTCTTTTCACTTGAAACAGTAAGCTTTAGAAATTTCTTTATGCCTGTGAGCTACATTGGCCTTATAGATTTAAGATTAAGGATGATGTTGCTATCTATAGGAATCTCCAAGATCTAGGAATTTAGTGGAACTTTTTATGATTATTATATACTTACAATTTTTAGCCTTTTTTCACATTAAAAAGGGATGATAGGCAGTAAGTTATCCGTTATTGTTTCTGCTGGCATGCCCTTTTACTTTTGAGGTGGTAGATAACTCTGCCAATAAGATAATTCTATCAGATTTCTAAGAACAATAATATAATATACATGTAAATTCTCATTAATTTTTGGTGGTGAACATTTAATTTAGCCACAATATGTCTCCTAGTCTCTGAGATTTTGGCTCATTTTAATTAGCAGAAGAATATAACTTCTATTGCTTAATGATTCAATTATATGCAATGACTATATTCCTCGCAACAGGCATCATTTTATTATTGGTGTATATTCTTTACTACCTCTTGCATTATTTGTCTCATAATCTCATGTTCTAATACCAAATTGTTGTACTTCCGTCAGTGTCTAAAGTATAAGACAGATCAAGCACAAGAGGCTAAGAAGATGGAAAAACTGAACAATATGTTCTTTGCTTTGATGGCCCGTGGCCCTGATGGTATGTCTTTACCCTAAGCTGTTACTTAATTGTGATGATGTAGCTAAAAGTATTCTCCTTAACATTCATGTTAGCTAAATTGTCAAAGGTTCGTATTCTTTTGAGAAATGTTTTCAAGGTTGTTTCCATGCGATTTTGATAATAGTTGAAATCATGGGCAAAACCAAAACACAAGATACCACTCTGTACAATATTGGTCTATGGTTTACATTGATTGTGTTTCGGATATTCTTTCCTATTTGGTGCTGAGATTTCTTTTCACATTCTCTACTACTTATAATTCTGCAGTTGATTTATCAGAAGTCACTGGAAAAGAGCAAATGGAATCTCAGCCGACCAAGAAAGGAAGAGGAAGGAAACAATAACTTGCCCTTTTGCTAGACAAGATGGTTTGTTGGATCATAGGACTTACCAAGAATTTGAATTGTTATATCTTTTCCCTTCCTAATGATTACTTCTTCAGAGTTCAGATTCTTTTGATGAGAGAGGTTTATACATTGAAGTTTTGAAGTCTCAATTTCTGATGTTTGGCAGTCTTGTTTATAGTATTATGGAATTAGTTATATCACCACACTAGATGCCGCTATTCATTGTTACCATTATTGAATCCAATAATGAGTTGATTTTGAATCCAATAACGCACCTGAACCATTGACTCCGATGCCACCTTCTAACCGGAATTTTCGCAAGTCCGGTGCTTCAACTTGGCAACTTAAAAATCTCGTTGTGGTTTTAAATGAGATTTGTGACCAAATTGTTGAAGGTACTACAAGCATGAGGCTAGCTTGCTGGCTTCTTATTTGGATCCCATTCCCATGTCACAAAGGAGTATGGAATTTTACCCTTCAATAACCTCACCCCAAATTCTTAACTTGAGATTTAATTCAGATAAATCTTAGTGACTTTCTCTCTACTCCTTCCCATAATAAGTATCATCTTTGAAGAAATTATAAGTTTCAAAATAAATACATGTTAATTTTTCAATGTAATATTAATTACATTTTTTTATTTATACCTTTCATAATATTTTTTAAGAAAGTGATTGTGAGTAAAAAAGATTAATCATAAAGTTAATTTAGTAAAATTACTATTTTTCTTTTATCTATTTATTAATTTTTCTTTATCTATATTAAATTACTTGGAACGATATTTATTATAAGATGGAGGAAGTAATACTTTTGATAATATTTTTTTAACTATTAGTTGCAAATAATAAATTTAGGGGTTTTATCTTTAAATGAAGAATGAGATTTGTCAATTATGGTGCAGAATCCATTAATTTTCCAAGAAATTTTCAATAAATTTTAACTGATAATACTAGAAAGAAGTTGACTGAGAGAAATCATAAGGTACGATATTACTACTATTACATTAAGTCGTGCCACAAAATCAAATGCACTCAAGAGTCAACAAAGCAGGTATTCTACAGTACTGCTTACAATTACTTTCGTTTGGGTGAAGCTGTCGCAATACACTGATAGCACAACCGATGCAAACGTGTTTAAAATGTCATAAATTATAAATAGAAATTATTCATATTTAAAGTTTAACAACTACATGACGTAATTATTTGCAATAGTATTTAAATTTAATATTTTTATTTTTATTTTTATTTTGTAAAATATTCTTTAATCCAACCTCAATTATATGTTGATAATACTTCTCTCTTAAAATTTTGATAGTTATTTTCATATAATATCAAAAGTTAATAATTCTGTGATTACTTACATTAAAGATGATTTTATATTGTTTTGGTAACTAATATTTTATACAGGTTTACCAATCAATGCCCAATACACAAAAAAAAAAAAAATTAAAAATGTAATATTTAACGTTATTAATATAATTTATATATTTTCCGCCCAAAAAACTGTATTATTAAAACATTTTAACGTAATTTTTTATCAATGTGAAAAATAGATATTATGATAACAAGTTTTTTTTTTGTTTAAACAAAATAAAATACACAATTTTATTATTCAATTTATTTATATATTTTGAATAACATCCTTTTTTTTTTTTTCTTTTTTAGCTTAAAATAACATCATGTTAATATTAACCGTAAGTTGTAATCTTTAAACTTTCATTATTGCAAAACCGTTCTAGTTTCCCTCTTTCGGATTCAAGGCTATAGTAACCAAAAAAATAACATAAGGAAGAAAAGGTCATAGTTGGCTTTGTCTTGCCTTTCAAAAAAGCTGTGCAGAAGAAAGCAAAACTTGCCACAACCTGTCCAAGTTCAAGTCTTCCCTCTATTGCACAAAAAAACGTTCTTAAATCATAATTTTGTACATATTGTTGTTTTCTATTTATTTTCCTCTTTTTACTTCCCGACATTGTAAGCTGTAGGGCAAATAAGATTATGTAATAAACAATTCAAAATATTTAAAACGAGATATTTCGCTTCAATGATTTGAATGTCTTATTCACAAGTGACAGAAGGTAGTGTACAAGTTAAAATGGAAACAAGTGAATGATCAATAATGTTGTTTGAATAGGCTACATTGTTTGTATTTATTTCTTCTGACTCTTCTTCAGTATTCACCCATCTTGAGCGTATGGGAAAACAAATATGGAGGGATATTTAAATATAAAGTATTGTCTAATCATCTATCAATTCGAATGGTCGTTGCATTATAATTATCCATGGCATTTTTCAACCCACACTTCTTGCACTATTGTTTATTTGTGGATGTACGTACTCTACTACCACGTGTGATTTTTTTTTTTATAGAAAAAAGTAACAAAATAAATAAAAATATAATTAGTAAGTAAAATTTTAGGTATATGTGAAAAGTGTTATACAAGAGGAGAGCATAGGATAATATTTTCCTTCTTTCTTCGTTTGAAATTATTAGAAAGGGTATCAAGAGTACCCTAACCCATTAAAAAAATATATATTAACCATAAATCATTTTCCTAATATTAAAACATCTACTTATCTTTCAACTAATAGGCCAAAATAAACATAAGGAAAAAAAATAGTTTATATCATTAATTTATTTGTTCAAATCATACACCTACAAGCACTTTAAGTACTCTATTTAATTTTTTTTTTACCTATTAAATTGTGTGATTACTTGTTTGTTTGATTGTCTTGTGATTTGTGTTTTTAAGGTCCATGTGAAATCAAGATTTGAGATGGAACTAAATCTGAAATGTGGTTGGTAACGTTAAACTGGATTTCTTGTAAGAAATATACACGTAAATATTGAACTAAAACCATATTAATTTTGTGGATTCAACCATAAGAGCTTTTAACACTTAGAGAATGATCTTGAAGGTTTTGTGAAAACTCCAATCTATGTAAAATGATCATGAGTCCATGTTAAGTGTTGGCTACCCTTGTTAAGCATGAGACTTAGAGGTCAGAGTTTGCTCTCTGTTCCTTTGGCACTAAGTGAGACCAGACTCTTATTAAGCACAATAGTCATAGAGAGCACCAATACCTCTGATGCTAAAAATGAGAGTCCTCATACTAAGCATAAGAGTCATGAAGAATGACCCTTAAGTTGAATTTAAGCTAGACCTAATTTTTGTTAAGTGTACAAGACATAAAGATCATATTGTGTTTTGGTGTAACATCCTAGTTTTTATTTCAAAATGATGTATATGTTAAGTATTATATTTTGTGGTTTTAATTAAATAATTATATTGTGGAATTAATAAAAATTAAAAGGGTTTTTGGAAGAATGATGAGTTGATGGATTTTTGTAAAAACATATGTTAGGGCTTTTTTGTGAGTCCAACTTTTTCTTTAGAGTCATAAAAGTCTTAAAAGATATTATTTTCCTAATTCCATGCAATTTCTTAAGTCTACAAAAGTAAAGAGGCTCCTCACTAAGTGTGAGGCTTCCATAAAGGAGAAGGTCTTGTTCTCTAATCCCATTGCACTAAATGAGAATAAGCTTTCACTAAGTGTGAAGCCACAAAGAATGATAGTGGTTACAAAGAATAACTCCTACTTTGACATTAAGTGAAATCTAGTTCTTGCTAAGTGCACGACCCTTAAAGAGCACAACACATTAAGTAAGACTAGGCCTTGCTAAGTGAGAGAACCACAGTGAATAACAAGTGTTCTAACACTGAGCTCAAGATGGTTCAGTTTGTTCTCTATACTCTTTGCGCTAAGTGAGGAGGCTTTGGCACTAAGAGAAAGAGCTATAAAGAGAAACCTCCCCCTCTATCTTTTGAAGGATTAATACTTGTTTAGTATTGAAATTTTGAGTTAAACCTCTAATGTGAGGATAATTAAGATACTTGAGTGCCGAGAGACATGAGATATTATCTTTTAAGAAGACTTATTCTAAAGGAATAGGATCCAATAACATAACATTATGACACTTAATGTGTATATTTGAGAATCATGAGATAAAATAGGTATCTTTGTATGAGACATGCATTATAAGCATGTTAAGGATGTTGTTAAGGATACGGGGATATTGACTTAGCAGGTGTACTTAGTTTGGATCTTCATATGGTGCATGAGACCAGAGTACCCTTGCAAAACATTTTGTATTATTGATGAGTTACTAATGGATTTTATCTTGGTTGAGAATGTTATTGTTGAAAGCCCAAGGTGTATTTTTTTGTTGACTATCATGTAAGGATACTTTATATTGAGAAAAAGATTTTAAACTTGATGTCACATACATAAGTGCATTAGAATCTATAGAGAACATTGCATAGCATGAATCTCTATATAGAGAAATAAAATACTCTCTATTTTATATGCTTTGTTATTATTGTTTATATATATATATATATATATATGTGTGTGTGTGTGTATGTTATTTTGCCTTTGTTTCACATAAAAAAACATATAATGAGATGTATCTCACTCTCTTGGATATATGTTGTTTGTGTTCTAAATACCACTTGTATATGAGAATCATTTAGACACTAATGCTGGAGGAAAGACTCGAGTCTCAATGTTTTAATGTTATTTCATAAATCTTACACTAATAAGATATGATATTAAGGCTTATAAGAGTTTTATGTTGTTATGTTATATTTTGCATTGACTTTTATATGTTCATTTTACCTTTCAGTTAATTCAATCTTAAACTTATGTATGGTCTATGTAGTGCTAATTAATTATTTATCATTTTTGTTTTCTTTAATTAGGAGAATAAATAAATATTCTAGTCATTTATTTTATAAATATGAAATATAAGGGCTCAAAAGTACTTTAATGCAATGAGAGATATTCTCAACTCTCCCACCACAACTCTCATCACAAAGAATGGATGAGGGTATTAAACCGATATATTTTACTATATTTTGCTTAAAACAAATTAAAAGAAAAAAAATTAAAATAATAAATTAAAAATAGTGAAAATAATTAGCATTATTAATTTTTTTTTAAGATTTGTTTAAATATATATTAAGTAACACTAGTTAGTTAATTAGTTAGGTTAACAGTGAATCTAACCATTTCATTAAATTCAATATTCATGAACAACATTAAAAGAGAACTCTAGACTATCTTGTACCTCCAACACCCCAAGTATGTTTGCTTCTCCTTCTCAGGCTTG